GAGCTCAGCAGACTTCCAAGTGTAGCGGGGGGGGGGGAGGGGGGAGGCAGCTGTAGTGGCCTCTAACCCACTGCTCCACTTCACTGCACCCAGAAGCCTGGGGGGTCCGGAACAGTCTGAGATTTGGGCAGACTGTGCTGGGCACTCACCACAGGCTGAGGTGCCTCAGGAAGCTGCGATGCCTCCCTGCTTGCAGAAGTATTCAGTCCTTCAGACAAAGGAACGGGCTTCTGCAGGGACTCCGGATCCGCCCAGCTCCTCCTCTGCAGGAGATGGCTAGGTGCAGCTGGGCTCCGGGGTTAGTGTAGGCCCGCCCATCCGTCAGGAGCTCAGCAGACTTCCAAGTGTAGCCAGGGGGGATGGGGAGGCAGCTGTAGTGGCCTCTAACCCACTGTTCCACTTCTCTGCACCCAGAAGCCTGGGGGGTCCGGAACAGTCTGAGATTTGGGCAGACTGTGCTGGGCACTCACCACAGGCTGAGGTGCCTCAGGAAGCTGCGATGTCTCTCTGCTTGCAGAAGTATTCAGTCCTTCAGACAAAGGAACGGGCTTCTCGGCCTATGGAATCTTGAGATGCTACCCAGTTTCCTCAGGAAAGTGTCTGGACAGACAAACCTTGCATGTCCATTGAGCTCTGCTCCAAATGTTGGGCTAGAGACAGACAGCTTGAACTGATGGCCCCACACAGTATGGGGGTGAGGCTAGGACACAAGCAAATAGGAGGAAACCATGGAGGTGACAGGCATGTGCTAGCTGTCAAGGTTCCATTGAAAAGTGACTTTAGAGTTAATTCTTTAAAACAGTATTTTTTTTTTTTTTGGTCTTTTTCGTTTTTACCGGTACCAGGGATCAAACTCACGACTGCCTGCTTGCAAGGCAGGCGCTTATGCCGCTGAGCTAAATCCCCAGCCCCTCAGTATAGGTTTTAAGAGAAAAGAAAACAGTATATGTGAATCCATGAAATATAGGATCAGCATGTAGCTCAATGATGAAGCACTTGCCTAACATGTGAGAGCCCCTGGGTTCCATCACTAGCACTGAAAATAAAAAACACTGTACTTCACTTACCTATCAGCACATGACTATACTAAAATAAGATAAAATATCATAAAAAAATGTTTAGTATTTATCAAAATAACAAATATTGGTGAAAACTTTAAAATACAGGGCCTAGGGATTTAGCTCAGCAGCATAAGCGCCTGCCTTACAAGCAGGCAGTCATGAGTTCGATCCCTGGTACCGATAAAAAAGAAAAAGACAAAAAAAAAACTTTAAAATATATTTAGTTTGACTAGCTCATAAGTGGTAAGTTACATAAGCAAAAGTGAAATTATTTAAGGTCTGCATAAAATATGGCTCATCAAGTGCTAGAATGCAATATTGTCTATTAAATGCTTCAAAATATAGCTTATTTTAATACATCTTGCTTGGTTACTTTTCTCATTGCTGAGACAAAATATCCAACACCCAAAGTTAAAGGAGAAAAGATTTATTTCAGTTCATAACTGACTGGTCCCAAGGCAGCGTGGCATGGCAGACAGGCATTGCAGAGGAGAAACAGTTCATGGCAGGCAGAAGGCATTAAAAGGAGGAAGCAGCAAGTGACAAACAGTGACCACATCAGGCCTCTTTCCATCTGAGCACTTAGAGGTGACAGCACTGACAGTCAGGGTGGCCCTTCCCATTATCCACCCCAGAACTCTGCAGACCAATCAGTGGACTAATTTAGTAATCACACACTGTTGATCCCAATGTCACACACTTTAGATTCAGCCACCTCTGAAAAGCCCCACCTATGACTGCATGAGGCTTTGGGGGAACATCCATACACAAGCCATACGCTTTTCAAAGGAGAATAGGAAAGCATTTTACAAACTGACAAAAGATAAATATCCGGGATACACAAAGAATATACAAGAATACAAAAACATCCCCAAATAGTTCAATTTTAAAATATGAATAAGACAAAGGATATGAAGAAACACTTCTTAAAAGAAAGCCAAATGGCCAACCAATTCATGACAAAAGGCTCAGCTTTGTTACTCATCAGAGAAATGCAAATCAAAATCACAGTGAAATGTCTTCTCACCCTGCTTAGAATGGTCATGATTAGAAAGACAAAAAGCAGCAAATGCTGATGAGGATGTGAAGGAAAGAACACTCTCATGTACAGTTTCCAGGAATGTAAATTAATATAGCCACTAGAAAGAACCATGCGGAGGCTCCTTGGAGACTAACTAGATCTTACCACATGACCCAGCTACCTCATTTCTGGATATATATATATGTATATCCAGTGGGATACCCATTGGTGGATGAATTGATAGGAAACTGTGGCATATATGCACAATGTAATATAATTCAGCCATCGAAAAGAATGTTATTCCATCATTTGCAACAAAAGGATGAAACCAGCACATTATGTTAAGTGAAGTAGGTTACACACATCAGAAAAAGTATCACATGTCCTCTCTCATATACAAATGTTAACAAATAAAAATCCAGTTGTATTGAATAATAATGACTGTTAGATGCTGAGAAGGTAGACGAAAGCATAGAGGACTGAAAGCTGAATAACAGGTACTCATAGTTAGAAGGAACAAACTGTAACATCTAACAGAGCAGTGTGGTAACTATTACATATTTTACAAATATAAAACAGTAATTAAGAGATTCCAAACACAAAGTAATGATGAGATGAAAACAGTAGCTCCCTTCATTTGATCAGCACATACATATATGTATACTGAAATATCACCAATTATTGCATGTTAATAAAAAACCTTGACTGATGTCACCGAAAACATTGATAACCACAATAAGAACCCATAAACTACAGAGGGATGTAGACAGATAATTTTTCACGTCCACTCTGGAATCAGGCAATCTTTGCCTCTGAAGGAGGCAAAGAAAGGTTTTGGGCTGTTAAATTAGCTTTTCTAGTTTTATTCAAAATATGACCCAGACTGGAGAGCGTTTTCTTTATCTCTTTCTTTTTTTCTTTTCCTGTTCAGCACATGTTTCCTTCTACTATGTCAGAAACTGTACCACGCTTTGAGCACACTATCACAGAATAGTTGTGGTAATTACAGTAGTAGAACCAACGGTAGCAGCTAACTTTTATTAGGCACTGTGTTTATCTACTTTTAGACACTGTGATCAAAAACCTGAAAAAACAACTTTAACTAGAATGTTTATCTCAACTCATAGTTACAAAGGTTTCATTGTCAGCAGAATCCAAGAAAGGCAGAAAAATCATGCAGAAGAGCAGCAGGGTGAAGCAAAGTGGTTACTTCACAACAGCCAGGGAGCAAAGGAAAAGAAGAAAATTTGAGAGGAGGAAAGGGCCAGATATTCTCCCCATAACCCAGGCCCTCTTTGTAATGTCATCCAAGTATGACTGAACCAATTAGTCCACTGATGAAGTTACAGTCTGCTTGAGACGATGGTCTTTGGAAACAGATGCACCCGAAGTGATCTTTATTAATTTCCTAGGCATTTCTCAATCCAATCAAGTTGACAGTCAAAATTGACCATGACAAACACTGACTGTTGAGTAGGAGATAAGTTTCTCTGCCTTTACCTGACAGAGGTAGAGAAACAGATATTTGCATATCACTGAGGACCGGAAATGTCACATGTTAGATGTTGTGCTCAGTTTCTTGGATATAAGAAACTGAGTCCACCGATGAAATATGAATAGTAGCAAAAACATTTGAAACCAAAGCTAAATACTCAAGAGGCTAAATTAAAGCTCTAATTTCTTTAACTTTCTGCTGATTATTTTGGCTCACATATCTTTCAGGAAAAAAAAAAACCTTGAGTAAAGAGAATATTGGCGAAGAAAACAGAGAAAGAGAGGAAAGAGGAAGTGATTAACAATAATTAGGATAGAATTAATCTGAAGTTAACACAATTACAAGATAACCAGTAAAGCAATTTAGATTCATTGAAAGAAGCTATTGTTTAAGATAGACAATAGCCGTATCTTTTTAAACTTTAATCATCCTAATTGTTTCACTGTGTAACAAGGGACAATAAATTTTGGTTTGTAAAGTCTACTTGACCTACCCTGCTCTCTATGAATATTATAATAGAAGTCTATCAGTGATTTACTAGTTGAAAAATTTCAAAAGTATAACTTTCACCTGCAAAATGTGTACACAGTCTAATTTAACATTGGGTTTCTTTGACTTAATCATTAATTTTATGAAGTTACTACAGTAACTCGTTATAAAAGGCATCATGAAAGTAACTGATGAAATATTGTTTTGAAACTCGTGTTTCATGTTAGGAAAAACACTGTAATAAGAGATCTCCTGTTCTGAAAAACCTAGATTCCCAGGCTTAGTTGGTAAGGGTGTTGTGTTTAAACTAAGAGAAACTTAGCTAGCTAGCCAGCAATATAATGCAGAGATGATTTACGAAAATTTTCATATCACTGTAAATTGCTTTTGGGAGAGTAATAGTGTTTTGTGAACACATTTGCATTATAAAATGCATGTAGTTACATAAAACACCATTTGAAAAATCTTTCTAATTTTTATATTTATTTATTTTACATGTTTCATATATATATTTCATGTTAGTAATGCAGAACAGAGTGATTGATTTTAGTATACTAGTACATTGCATATCAGTCTATTTTTTGAGGATTGTTACACTAGGTGTGATGTCTTTAACTTCTGGGATCACATAGAAATGATAGAATTACATTTTCACTATGTTTTAAATTCAGGGTTTCAATGAACATTTGAAAAGTATAGTGCTCAATTGTCTAATTACTTTTTTAGTCTGTTTTTGTACTTTTAAGGTGTCTCAAAGAGATGTTTTTAAATCATCCTCTGTAACTCAGCTTTTATATTAATTTCCATAGGCACCTTAAATAATTTGATGCTTGATTTTTTTTCTCCAGAATTTCTTACATTTACCAATATATCATTTTGGCAACTTCTTTTAGCTGTGTTATAAAGATTAATGTGTAATATGTCATTCATACAGAATTATGAAATTTCATGTTGCAAAACGAAAGTTTAAGGAAACTTTGCGCCCATATGATGTAAAAGATGTCATTGAACAATATTCTGCTGGTCATCTGGACATGCTGTGTAGAATTAAAAGCCTTCAAACCCGGTAAGCAATCAAAATGCTATTCATTGTAAAGGAATGAGCATGGAAATTAATGTATCTAGGGGGAACTTCTTTTTAGTAGCAAAATCTTTAAAATCTACATTTATAGTTTGTTTTTAGTGGGCAACTGAACTTCTGCTTTTAACATAGATGTAAAGTGGGCATTCAAAGCCTCCCAATAGAGTTTCCTCTTTTCGAAAATAGCTCTTTTTGTTCACAGACTTGGCCAGAGGATTTGGAGAGTTAATATATGAGATATAATCACCTGAGCATAAAATGCTCAGTAAGGACCAAGGACTAGTGCTGATGTTTGAGTTATTACTGCTGTTGCTATTTCTGTTATTATTAGAGCCCTTCAGCAGCAAGCTAACCTGTCTCCCTCATTAATCTTTTCCCTATTATGCAGCTCAGGAAAACAGATCTTTCTCTTTTCTGACCTCCTGCATCAATAAAGTTTCCTCAATGTGTGAAACGCTAACAACTTTGGGAGAATTGGAAAGTTAATACTTGGCCCTTGTATTGCTCCTTGGTTTGCAAGTTTGTTGCCCTTGCTCTCCACTAAGACAGGCCCTTTCTTTTCTTAGTGTTATGTACAGTGACAGATTGCCACATTCATCCAGCTAGCATCTTGCTGAGAGGTTAAAATGCAGGACTTCCATATGTACATTTAAAATACATGTGATTGGTTGTATCTTTTTCAAGCCAAATATTTAGTCAGTTCAAATTGTTTTAAATGGTTGCCTTATTGTCAGGCACAAATAATCAGCATTGAAAATCAAATAATTCTTAGAATACAAAGACTGGGTCTTAAATATTTTTGTGTTTCCACAACACACAGCTCAGTCTGTGGTATATACAGATTAGACTCTTAATAAAGGACTTGTTGATTCATCATAAAATCATTATTCATTAGATTCACATAGAATCAGTTTATTCATAAAGCAGATAATTACTGAGCCTATTATGTGTGCCTGGCATGGTGGACATCCAGAGTTTGAACTATTGATCCAAGCTTTGCAGATTCTAGTTTTAAAGATTAGATATTGGACAGAAAGTAGGCCTTGACTATTTCTCTGCAGACAAAGTAAACAGGAAAATTGAGTCAATATCCATAGTAATTCAAGTCTAAAACATACACAAAAAGTAGAACTAGATGATCCCATTCTGGTTGATCAAATTTCCTCGGAAACTTTTGACCTACCTATCATCATGTTACAGTCTATGGAAACACATATGGTGTCCAAGGTATTGATATGGTTAAACTGTATCAGAATTTACAGTTAGTTTTTACTTTCTAGCTCATGCATATTTTCCCAATTCAAATGCCAAAAAGCAATAGTTTCATATGTGCTTACCATCCACATATCAGACATGCAGTACATCCTCACTGAGTAATATGCTCTAGTGACGCAACATTATTATCATCATGACTTTTTCATATTTTGAAGTGGTTTAATTCAGCACTGCCTGGTGAATATCTAGGTCAGCTTTGCCTCCAGATCACCCATTAGTGCATTCATCATGGAACCAGGATTCTGAAAAAATTAATCTCATGTATACTCCATGTTGAGGAATAAGATCATCAACTGGAACCCACTTGCCTTTATTCTACCTTAAATAAATTGAAGATAGTTGTGTTTAATTTTTTCTTCACAAAACTCTTTACTCTGGCCAAGGCAATCTGCATCTTCAGCATATATAAGCAGATATCCTCTTTCTCTGGTAGGGTTGATCAAATTCTTGGAAAGGGGCAAATCACATCAGATAAGAAGAGCCGGGAGAAAATCACAGCAGAGCAGGAGACCACAGATGACCTCAGCATGCTCGGGCGTGTAGTCAAGGTTGAAAAACAGGTATCATTCAGCTACTCTCGGGAAATCTTCAGCCATTTATTTTTAATCAAAATTGGTCACAAGCAAGTAGGCGTGTCTTAAAGATGAATACATTTTAAAGGAGTACAATGAAGAAACAGTGAATGAAATGAAATTTTCCTGTGTATATATAGTGTCCTCAAGACACCGGTGAAGTTCCACTTAAATTTTATCTATTAGTGAATACTTCACTGGAAGCAACATAGATTCCCAATAGTAAAAGATTAAAGATCTGTATTTCATTTGTGTTTGGATTATTTGCACTATCTCTCTTTTAGGTCACCCTTTTTAAAAATAAGACAAGAATCTCATCGTAATTATGAGACAAGCATTGATTATTTGTTACTGTTGACACTATCTCTTCTCATACAAATTTAATTTTTTCTAAATCAAATTGCTCTCTCAATGGAATCGTACCCATTCAAGTATTAGTCCTGAAGCATTTTATACCTTTATTTTTAAGTTCAGACTCATCTGGGTTGACACACAGCCATTATTTCATTATATAATAAGTTCCTTACTAAAATTCAGTAGAGTTCCCAGAAGGCAATCAGTAGGGTCAGGAAAGGCAATTTGACTGGATGGCAAGTGGCATTTGCTAGTGCTGAGATGGCTTTTTAGAGCATCAACTGCCCCTTTTAACCAAGTGGAAGGTGGAGTGGCAGAGGAGGTGATACAGAAGCCAAGGGATTCCTCTCACCCAGTATCCTCCTCTGGCCTCATCACAACACATGTGACCTTCATTGTGAGTCAAAGCTGCATGGTATTTATTTTTTTCAACTATATCAACACACACTCATTCAGTTTGTTAATCCCATAAGTGAAATCAGTACTTTCTAACAGGTTATCTTTTTGTGCGTCCATCTTTTCCTGTTTAGGTCCAGTCCATCGAGTCCAAGCTGGACTGCCTCCTGGACATCTACCAGCAGGTCCTTCGCAAAGGCTCTGCCTCTGCCCTCACTTTGGCTTCATTCCAGATCCCGCCTTTCGAATGTGAACAGACATCTGACTATCAAAGCCCAGTAGATAGCAAAGACCTGTCCAGCTCCACTCAGAACAGTGGTTGCTTAACAAGATCAGCCAGTGCCAACATCTCACGGGGGCTGCAGTTCATTCTGACGCCAAATGAGTTCAATGCTCAGACTTTCTATGCGCTCAGCCCTACTATGCACAACCAAGTGACACAGGTGCCAGTGAGTCAGAGTGATGGCTCCACAGTGGCGGCCAACAACATTGCGAACCAAATAACCACGGCGCCCAAGCCAGCCGCCCCAACAACTTTACAGATCCCACCTCCTCTCCCAGCTATCAAGCATCTGCCCAGGCCAGAGACGTTGCACCCAAACCCCACAGGCTTACAAGAAAGCATTTCTGATGTCACCACCTGCCTTGTTTCCTCCAAGGAAAACGTTCAGGTTGCGCAGTCCAACTTGACCAAGGACCGTTCTCTAAGGAAAAGCTTTGACACTGGAGGAGAAACTCTGTTGTCTGTTCTCCCCACGGTGTCCAAGGACTTGGGCAAGTCTCTGTCTGTGCAAAACCTGATCAGGTCGACAGAAGAACTGAATTTACAGCTTTCAGGGAGTGAGTCAAGTGGCTCCAGAGGCAGCCAAGATTTTTACCCCAAATGGAGGGAATCCAAATTGTTCATAACTGATGAGGAGGTGTGTGCGGAAGAGACAGAGACAGACACCTTTGACAGCACACTGCAGCCGGCCAAGGAAGCTGCTTTTGCCACAGACTCTCTAAGGACTGGAAGATCACGATCATCTCAGAGCATCTGTAAGGCAGGAGAAAGTTCAGATGCCCTCAGCTTGCCCCACGTCAAACTGAAATAAGTTCTTTGTTTTCTTTCTAAACATAGTGGTTCCTTTAGCCATACATATCATTGCATGAACTATTTTGAAAGCCCTTCTAAAGAGTTGAAATTGCAAGAATCAGGAAGAATATGACAGGCAGTTTATAAGCCTGTTATCTTTTAATTGCATGAAAATGCATGTTTAGGGATGGCTGAGATTCCAAGGTGCATCGACATTCACATTTACTAATGTACCTTGAGTTTAAAATCTTGAGATACCAAACATTGCTAATGCTATAGGGTGTGTGAAAATGTCAAGATTAGAACATTTAGAAGATTGGACACTATATTTTGAAATGTGGGAGTAAATACCTTCAAATTTCAGGCATTTCTGCTTTGTGACTAAATAAAAAATACATTTTCAAAATTAGGTCATAATGTATATTTAAACATAATGGCTATCCACTGCTGCTAACAATATATTAAGTAAAGCAGAATTTGGGAATAACAGAAATGGCTGCTTATTTCAGATATTTTTGCCAACCCATTCCCACTTGGTCATTTTATTATTAATGTAATTTGAATGTAACTTTGTGTATTCTTGGTGATGTAATGCTGTGGCAAGCAATTTTGCACATCATTTTCATGTTGTCCTTTATGACAAGAATGTTTTTCAATTAGAAAATGCGCAAATTATGGAATTCAGGGCCAGTAGAGCAGACAGACTCATTATTTGATATATTCGACTCTGCGGAAGCATGTTCCGTAATGACATAGTCAGTTGTGAAAATGGTCACCTTCTACACAAGTGTATGAAAAATCCGGTGTGCTTGGGCTGGTTTCTCTGCAGGGCTGTCCACTTCAGGGTCACCCCACCCTGCCCTACGAAGGGCATGTGTGAGCGGCAGTTCTCATTTCCTGAGCACCCTAGGGGAAAGGGAGATGGAAGTGGGATGGAGAGGGGAAAGCTTGGAAAGAATCCAGACACAACACCAGGAAGGAGGCAAAGCCCAGACAACGACTTCCCCCTCAAAGGCTGAAGGGGAAAGAAACAAACCAAAATAAAAAACTAGATTTTTTCTTTTTAGAAAATGATATTTGCTAGGGAATTCAACTACCTATACATCCCTTATTCTTATATACAGACAGAGATTTTGCAAAGTATTTATTTTTTAATATGCCCTGGATGTCTTTTACTATTATGTCATACATTTTGCATATTAAAGGCTAAAACTAAATTTCCTTTACTTTTTATACTATAGTGAACTCTTTCTATTCTGCCCTAAAAAGTTGTCCCAAGTCTGAAATTACTGAATCTATTTCCTGGTATAAATGTCTATAATTAAAAGCCAGATGCCACTGGCAAGGTCTGCAAATCAAAACACTTAATACATCATAGCAGTGAAAAAAATCAAGGGAAAATGAAAAATGTATTTCCCAGAAACAAGCAACACTGGCTGCTCGTTAGGTATCAGGGTAGCTATATCAGAATGTCAGAATTTGGGCCAGATTTGGTAGCCTGTGTCTGTAATCCCAGCACTCAGGAAGCTGAGGCAGGAGGATTGGTGTGAGTTTGAGACCAGCCTGGGCTACAGAGCAAGTTCAAGGCCAGCTTGAACTACATAACAAGACTCTGTCCCAAAAAAACAAAACAACAAATTAACGGTATGAACAAGGCAAAGAGAGGAGCTAACCCCCAGCCACTCCCAGAAGAACTCAAGGAAAGAACTTTTTCTTTAGAAAGAATTACAGTCACTTCCAGAAAAATATCTCCAGCGGCCAGTGGAAGAAGCAGGCAGCAGCGTACTGCTCAAAGGAAAGAAGCCCTGAAATCCACCAGCCTGTCTCAGCTCTCTCCACTAGACGGGCCTTAGAATTTCCCTTAGAAACTCCCTCCCCAAGTAAACCAATTATCCTCTCTACCTAAAATGTGCTTCTCAGCCTTCTAAAATGTTTGTCCCTTTTGCTAACGTGCAATTTTTAAAAGCTTCGTCTTCCTATCTTACCTGGATTCTAACACACTGCCCTGGAGTGTATTACTCAGAATCTTCTTGACTACTGGAGACACATGAGTTAAAAAGATTTTGCTAAGCATTTAATTATTTTCTTTTTCCAAACACAGAAGTTATTAAATACAATTTCTCATCTGGCCATGTCTCTGCCCAACCTGAAATTGTGATACACCCTCCCAAGGACACGGTTCACATAAACACGCACACACGCATGCATCCACACAGGCGCTAACCTAAGCCAGACTCCTCCTCGATGCTTGGCAGGTCTCTCCAAAGATTAGCCAAGGAAAAAGGAAGGAGGCCACAACTTTCAGGTAGCACTGATTCTTGGGCATATACTGACTTGGGTCAAACCCCACTGGCAGCAGGAGTTCTGAATGTATTGGGGACCCCCTGTGAGGCCTCATTAGACCTCAAATAGTTCATACAGCATTGCTGAAGACTGGAGATTCAGAAATAAAGCCTCCACCCTTCGCTGAGGTCTTCATCACAGCAAAATGTGATAAGCCATGTTGCGAAAAACACGTACCTATTGAAGCTTTGACCATTTTTGTCTAACTCACTCTAGCACAAAAACTCTCAGGTGGTAAAAGATGGCGAGAAAACCACAAGGTTCTGCTTGTGTCGCTCTCTGTGGAGACGAAAATGGTGTCCCATTTACACTTAGCAAAGTCCCACTGGTCAGTCCAAGTGGTGTCTTGAAGCACAATTTAGCTGAGGACTGAGGAGCTACCCGCTTTCTCAGTTCAAGTTTGTCTGCATCCTTCAACACATGTGGAGGATCCAGGGAATCCTTACTTAATTACAAACAGCCCATGTATGAGGTCCCCTAAAAATTTTTGTGCCCAATGTAATGTTTGCATTTTGTTCGACTAAATTAATATCTGTGGATTGCAAGTTTTGCTGAAAGTAAGATATTTTCCCTGTCTCATTCTAAGGTGCCTTTATCACCTCCCATGCATTCAGTGATTCTTCAAGTTCTTAATTTGAAAGTCAAACTTAATAGAGAGGAGAAAATCAGGCACAAAGTGACTCAGTCTCACACTCACTTGCACAGAAAAACTACAAATAAGGAAGAAAACTGGGCAATTAAATAAATAGATCACTGCATTCAAACAGACTAAGGAAATATCGTGAATATGTTATCTCCCCAGAAGCTGATTTTTTTTTGCCTTAAATAACCTGGTTGTGTTTATGTAAGAGAAAATTAATTTAATATAATTATGTGCATTTAAGTGAGCAGTTCTAAAGTCATGTACAACAATGCAATTGTCTGTTTCCTGAAAACAAATAAATCAGGAATATCATATCTATTTCAAGCTACCATGTAACTTCATTTGCTCTCTTTTACTGGGATTATTTGTTTTAAAGTAAAACATTAAAAAGATGTCTATAAAACAGCTAGTGTGAGTTTTTTATCAGAAACTAACTGATTGGTTCTGAACTGACTGATTCAAGTCAACCAAAATGACTGTCTCCGGATTTTGGACTAAACTATAAAAATCATCTTGTGGCAATGTTGCTAAAGAAATTCTTGGTAATTTAGGAATAGGGAAGATTTGTATATGCTCTTCAAGGTTTTATAAGAAAACTTAATTCATTTGGTATGAATCATAACTCTGATACCAGCTCATATGAGTTTTGTGTTAACTATATATGGAGCATCCTTTATCAGAAATTCTTGTGACTGGAGGTGTTTTGGATTTCAGATTTCAGATTTTGTTTTCATGTACATAGTGCTACATATTGGCAATGAGGTCTAAGTCTAAACATAAAAGTCATTATCTTTCATATGTACTTTGTACATAAAGCCTAAACATAATTTTAAATAATATATGTGTGTGGTACTGGAGATCAAACCCAGGGTCTTGAAAATGCCAGACAAGCAGCTTATCACTGAGACAGACCCTTTTCTAAAATAATTTACACTATTTTTAATAATTTTATCCAGAAGCAAGTTACCATGGCATGGAATTTCCCACTGGTGGTGGTCATATCAGAGCTTAAAAGGTTTTGGATCTCAGCGCTTCTCAGAATCAGATTTTCAGATTAAAGAAATTTGACCTGTATAATAAAAGTTTACTAAACAAGTGATAAACAATGGAGAGGTGCAGCTCCTACTCAAAAAAGGATCATCTCCTTTCTTCCTCAGTAAAAAATGTCATTGCTTCTGCTGTGATAGCAACTTCGCAGTGCCCACTTCTCCAATGTCCTCCGCTTCTTTATTGTACTCTGTACTTGATCTTCACTTAGAAACAAACCACTGTCATACAACTCATAATAATGTTTCAGTTAACACCAGAAAAAGATTATAATGCAGCCGAAAACTTCCTATCACTTAGTGACATGATGCATATTATAACATAATACCACAACAAATTACTCATGTTTGTAGTGTTGCTGGTGTAAACAAACCCACTTCACTGCCAGTAACATAAAAAATATAGCACTTTATGTACTAGGCATAATATTTGATAATGACAACAGGCAAGTGTTACTGGTCTATGTATTTACTATCCTTTTAGCATTATTTTGGAGTTTACTTCTTCTATTTATAAAAAATGTTTATCGCAAAAATGCTATGTAGTCAGGCATGGAGGCACATGTCTAAAATCCCAGCATCTGGGAAGCCAAAGCAGGAGGATTACAAATTCAAACTAAACCCAGTCAGTTTAGCAATTTAGCAGTAATATTTCTCAAAACTTAAAGTAAAAGAACAGGCAGAAGATATAGCTCATTACAAAGGTCCTGGATTCAGTGCCCAGTACTGAAAAACAAAACAAAAACTGCTATGCCCTGGCAAGCTACTACAGCCTCAGAGGTCATGTCTATACTGTGTCCTTCGTAGCATCAGGATGCCAATTCAAGTGGCTAACCTATATCAAACTTCTATACACTCTCTATGATGTTCCAGGATGAAATTCCCCAAGTAATTTCTTGAAAATACATGTTTATTTCTTACAATTTACCCACCATTTTGTGATGTGTGATTGGACTTACAAAATAAATTATCCAGAGTATGTCCATTTCCACAGCACCGGAATGTGACCTTCAGACCCACCTGCCACCACAGAAAAAAAGAAGTTGATTGAACAGTCATAGCAGCATCCCCCTCAGCTTTTCTAGAATGGTCAACGCTGCAACCACTCCTTGTGTTACAATTCTCAGAATATCACTCCTTCTCAGTTTGCCTCTGAAAAACATAGGAGAAAAAAATCTCTTTTCTCAAGGTGCATGTGGAGATTTTTCCACACCAACAACCGAACAATTCATGATGGAGCCCAGATAGGGTTCTTCTGATTCAACTTAATTCTGAGATGGCAGCGGATCCCAGAGGTAGGTGGCTCTGGTCCACCAAACTGTCCACTTTTCAGGCACTCATCACAAACCCTAGTAGTACAGATAGACATGTGTAATTCTGCTATAAATGGGGGTCTCAACACCCCTTCCTCCATTAATTAACTAGAACAAATCAACAGAACTCAGAGAGACATTTTATTTATATTTACCACTTTATTATAAAGGGCACTCCAAAGAACACAGATGGAAAGATGTGTAGGACAAGGTTATATAGGGAGGAATAAGCCACACTTTAGAAATCTCCACAGATTCTACTATCCAAAATCTCCCAGAACTCAGTCCTTTCAGGTTGTTATGGAGATTGTGTAGACCAATGAACTAAACCATTAGTCATTGACAGGCAGCGTGACCTTCAGCCCCACTCTCCACTCTCTGGGAATTATAGAGTGTGGTTAAAAAGTTTCAACATCTCACCATGCCTTGGTCTTTCCTGTGGCCTTTCCTTGGTCTTTCCTGTGGTCTTTTCTTGGTCTTTCCTGTATCCTGATGTTACTGAGAGATCCCATCAGCCACCCATCGTCTCACTAGCATGCTGAAAATTCAGAGTTTCAGGAACTGTATGTCAGGAAATCAGAAGAGGACCGAGTATATATTTTGCAATATTCCAGTTCATTACCTTTCAATTTGATCATCTTTATTGACTTTGCCAAGTTATTTTTCTCCACTTAACTGTGTTCCCATGAATTCCTCCCGCTCTCCCACAAGGTCTCATCTATGACCTCAAATTCTTGTGTGGCAATATCCCATCCTGTCATATGTGCACTACAGCCCTGCTTTCCTCCTCCAGATTAAAAAGATGTGAGAGCAGATGTGGCTTTTCACACTGTAACATGCTGGAAGCACTTAGTATCTTAACAAATGAAAGTAACTGGCTTGCTCTAGACCTTTATTTGGCTTTCAACAAACTTCCAAACTAAGTGCAGCCGAGAGAAGAGTGTGATTACCAGGCTTCATTCATACTATGTCATAAACTGAATCTATTATTTTTCTGAAAGACCTTGTTCTTTTCCAAAGATGTGTTAATAACTTTTTGTCACTGTGAAAAATTACCTGAGAACAATAACTTTAAGGAAGAAAGGCTTATTGGACGTGAACAGAAGTCCAGGCATAATGCGTTTTGCTCAATTACGTCATCCAGCTTGCACATTCTTTCTGTCTGCTGCCCTCCTCATCCAAGGTATATGATTGGTCATTTGTTTTATTGCACACAAGAAGATCACCAGAATGCCATACACCCCTTCACCACTTCTAACAGCAGAAGAAAAACAGCAAGGGTCTCTCCAAACAAAGGGGCATAAAATCCTTTCCTGACACTAATACAGGTAAGGTGCCCTTTCCTGGACCACAGGAGTCATGCATGTGCTCTGTTAGGTTTAAGCCAATTACCATTCACACTGGCAAATACAGAACAAACACATAAAAAACAATAGTGCTTGTTAAATCAAAAGCAATGATGGAACAGGGAAAACCACCCATCTGAGGTAGGGGCTGTTATTATCTCCACTTTATAGTTGTGAAACCATTGCATTGAGGAGTCATTGAAAAGAACATAAAGCTATTATTGAAAGACCTAACGTTTAAATCCATGTAAACACACGCTAGTGTTTCAGATATTAACTCCTTTAATATTAACACAGAAACTTTTGGTGGCTGGGACTTAGAATTATACTATGAGGAGAAAGGAAATTTGATGATTTTTGATGTGAAAATCAACTGAAAGATGTTATTCTTTTTGCAGGAATCTTTAAAATACAAGGTTTTATCTCTATTCTGTGGGCCTCAAATTCTGAATTATCAGTTAGCCAGTAATATTCCCTTTGCAATTGATTTCATCGGTTTCTTCTTTCACTCTGATTCATGGATTTTTACTACTGTGGATCTAATCTAACTTTTACTAGTAACTGGGAATGTAAAAGCTATGTATTGAACATTCTTGTTGGTTTCAAATCTATCCCAACTTCCAATATTTTCTAACACTTCTGTCATTTCATGCTGATCCAAGATACTATCCCCCTTCCCCTCTCCAGAGGACTGCAGTGACTTCTCTGTTTGTCAGCTTTCTGGGGCTGTGACAAGATACCTGAGAAAAACAACTTAGGTTCATTTCCCAAGTTAAAGTCCTGGGCATGCTGGATCCATTGTTCCTGGGTGGTGATGTGTCAGGTCACAGAAGATGGGCACAGTGGAGCACAGTTGCTTATCTCCTGGTGGCAGGCAGCAGAAAGACTCCCAGAGAGCCCACCAGGAAAAGGTTGTGAACACCATGGAGTCCCCAAGATGATAACCTCATGACTCACTCCTTCCAATTAGTATCCATATCCTCCTGTTTCTAGGAACTCCCAATCAGCTCAGAAAATTAGAAACTCTTCAGGCTGTTCATCCCTCATGATCTGGTTCCAAAAGCCCCACCTGTCACATGGCTGCTTTGGAAACCCAGCCTCCACACAAAACCCCTTGAGGGACCGTCATAGATTCAACCTCACCAGCTTCATGACAAGACATAGACTGCTGGGGAAGGAGCAGCAGTCAAGAGCAAGAACTGGGGTGGGGGTGAGGGATTTTAGCTTGCATGACCTTGGCTGAAGAGCTCCCATTGGCCATTCCGAGTATCTCATCCTGCACCTCCAGTGGGAACACATTCTGCCTCTATCTGGATCCTGGTCCACCTTGCCTTTCTCTCTGCTCTGCATTTTAAGAGTAGCAGAATCGTGGGCTTCCTGGGAAACAAACTTCTTCAGAAGCCCACTTTCCCTCATCCCTGAGGAGCCTAAACAGGCTACTGATCTGGGAAGGTCAGTCCATGAAAAGCTTCCTGGTTTCTGGGTCCTTCCCAGACCTGGACCTCCTTAGAACCTATGTGGGCCACCTAGAGCTTAGCATCCTGCTGGCTCAGAGAAGGCCCTCTGGGCTGTATAAGCCTATCCAAAGGGAAGAGGCCAACACATCAATACCTTTATAATCACATAGTTTATTTTATTGTATGTCTTTGCTAGCAGAGCACTTTATTCCACTTAGGAGACACAGGCCTGCAAATCTTA